GAGAGAGAGAGAGTGCCGGCGGAGGAGGCTAGGATGGCTGGCTGTCGGCAGACGAGGAGCGATACGCAGGTCGGGGCCACGGTCGAATGTCGGGCCGAAGGTTTCTTCGCGCGGTTCCAAAGGGTCCACCGACGTCGCCTTGGCGTGCAGTGGGGGGGCAAACGAGCCAGATCCGCGTTCCGAAAGCCGCGCAGGGATGGTGACTGACGACGATGCGCAGTGGTCGAGCCGGAAGTGACGGGCGGCTAGGGAGTCTGGCTGCGCGTCGCTCCGAGATCCGATGTCCGGAGGGCGGCTGTTGTTGGATGACGAGACGCAGCGGGCCGCAACGGGTGGTGGTGGTGGTCGAGAGGCAGGAGCTGCGGTGGTCGAGAGGGCGCCGTTTGGATCCTCGTTGCGATGGCACACCTAGGCCAACGGCAGACGGCGACGAGGAGGCAGAACGAGGTAGGTAGGTAGAGACTGGTAGAGCGACGTGCTCGGTCCAAAGGAGCTTGGTAGCAGTGGGGGGGCGCACGGAGGCGGTGGTATGTCGGAGTAGCGAGGGTGCGAGGGAGGCGAGAGCGAGAGCGAGAGCGAGGGGGGCGACACCGGACGTCTGGTGGACCATGTCAATTTGTATGTCGGGGCCCGTCGGCGCGCAGTCATGTGGCAGTCGGCTCTCGTCTTGAGCCACGCCGCTCGACGACGGCCAAGGTGTGGCTGCTGGCTGGCCAGGCCCAGCGACGACGACGACGACGGCGACTACAGTACGGCGACGGCGAGGATGCCATGGTCGAGGCTGAGCTGGCACTCGCACTGGGCGGGTGACGAAGGGTGCGCTGTCATGGAACCAATCAAGGCCATGGCCATGGCAAGCGCAGCCGAGTCGAATCAACGCAGAGGCTAGGCTAGGCCAAAGGCTGGCAGACAAAAGACACGAGACGAGGCCCAGCCATGGCCGCGAGACGGCGCGGCAGGTGCCGACGTCTGGCGCCACGGTACTTGCCAGGCAGGGTAGCGTATGTGTACTCTGTGGCCGGTCAACATGGTCGCCCACCCTAGCCTGCCGTGGTCGTGCTCATTGTCATCCGCGGACGGCCAAGACGATGAGCAAGCGCCCACACATCGACAAGGGTGAGAACCGCCATCGAGAAGCGCCGTCAGAAGTACTGTATCGCGTCGAGTCGAAACCAACTGACAGAGGCGATGGCCGTTGCAAGTTCGCACTACACTGTCAGCAACGCTCGATACCGAAATGAACTGACCTGAATCTACTAGTCTGTGCATTGCCGAGGACCCTTCAAAGACAAGATCATTATTTGCAATGACCAAGATCATGATTTTTCCAAAAAAAAGACGTATTTTGCTCAAAGAAGGCTCAGAACTTCAACGTGGGTCTCGAAGGCAAAATTTCTGGCAGAGTCTGGCCACTCGCACGAGAAATCATGATCTTGGTCATTGAAAATTGTGATCTTGTCTTTGAAGGGTCCTCGCTTATGCACGAACTAATAGATCGAGGTCAGGTCAAATGAGTATCGAGCGTTGCTGACAATGTACACTCTGTCTCTTTCTCGACGCCACGGCAAAGACGGATGAATGACAGACGGGCATGGGCAGCGGGAGAGACCCCAAACGACGCCGAACAACGCGCTGGCTTGCTCTCCCTTCTGTCGGAAGCGCGGGCTGGCAGCCAAAGCGAAGCGAAAGAAGAATAGCGCGGGCCGATGGGTATACCCGAGACTCTGGCTGGCAACCGACCATCTGCCGGCCGGCCTGAGACGAGACGAGACGAGACGGTGCGGCGGCGATCTGGTACCGCAAGCAAGGCGAGGCCCGGCGAGACCCGACGAGGACGAGGACGAGAAAGCAAGAGACGGTACGGTACGGTGAGGTGCGCTGCGGCTGTGCGGCAACAGTCGACGGCGTGGCGGCCTATCCTCTACAAGCAGCCGGCGGCGAAGGCTGTGACCGACGACGACGAAGAGACCGCCTTCGCACCACCCAGTACCGGCTTCCTACGTACCCTACCCTACCCTACGCCACCTGTATCCTCGCGCAGTCGAATCGAGTTCCGGCAGGCGGGCAGGCCTGCCTGCCTTTGTTCTCATGGCCTGGCCACCACGACCGGCCTCGCCATCAAACCTTCTCACCGATCCAAACGAGACGACGACGCAGACGGGCGTCCGATGTATGGTAGGCTAAACCCACCCACCCGGCTGGCAACCCACCGCAGCCGCCCGGCTAGCGTAGCGTAGCGTAGAACAAGCTAGGCAGAGCGAGCATGGCCAAGATCCTGCAAATGGCATTATACCCGAACCGCCGTTTCTCCTTCTTCCTCCTCCTCGCTCGTCCTCACAGCAGAGCTTCTTTGTGATCGCCGTTCCGATGCCATCTTTGTTGAATCGACGTCGCAGCCAGGCGAGGCGAGCATGGGAACGAGGGAGGGCGCAATCAAATCGCGCTAATTGGTCTCTCGCTCTCTCGCGATGAGTGGGTGCGGTGCGGATGGTCGATGGAGGAAATATCGATGCATGTGAAACGACGCTAGTACGGCTACATTGCCCTGCCTACTGTAGACTCGTACTGTAGCTCGGATGTGCGCTTTCCATCCCTTGTACGCCCCCCCCCCCCCCCCCCCCTTCCAACACTGACCCCCACCCCACGCTGGTTGACGTCGACGATGGCACTACGGTACGGTCGGTGCGCCAAGGACCGCTAGTCTGTAGGGTTACGGTCAACGGATGGCGGCGGAGCGGACTCCGTTCGAGGAAATGGTGTGGATGACCAAGACGAGACCAAGACGGAGGAAGGAGAGGAGACGAGGAGGAAGAGCGGGCGGCGACGAACAAGCGGCCCCCTGAGCTCTCAGTGTTCCTCGGAACCGCTTCTCGACTGCTGCCGTCGTCCAGTCCAGGTCGGAGGTTGGACATGCATCGTCGAGGAACATGTAGAGTACCGAGGTTGGCATCCTGGCCCTCTCCACCGTCTCTCGAAGACCGAGCGACCAACGACGGCGACAACGACAGCGACGGCGACGGCGACTACGACGTCGAGAGGTGGGCTCAATCAAGGTGGTGGTGGTGGTGGCAAGCAGCGACGACTTTGGCACCCGTTCGTCGTTTGCCTCCCCACTCTGCGGTGCGCCAACGTCAATCAATTGGGACGCCATGGCTCGATACCTGCCTTGCTCCCCACCTTCACCGCCCATCCTACCGCGTAGCTGCCATCCTCGATCCCCGTCCTTCTCCTCCTCCTCATCGTCCGCCGCATCCCATTAATCCGACAGTGGAAGGAGAGGCGGGAGACAACCGCCACCACCGCCGCCGCCGCCGCCGCTACCTGCCATTCGGCGCCCCGTCCCTTTCAAACTGGCTCTCCGCTCTGCTTTGCTTTGCTTTGCTTTCGTTGTTCGGTTTACGACACGACACGACCAACGTCGCTCGGAGGGGAAAAGGAAGAGGGGATGGGGTGCTAAAAGTACAGGGGGAGGGCGAACGCAGGATGCATCCGGACCGCATAGGGAGACGAGGAGGCGAGCGGCGAGGCTAGGAGAGACAAAGGGGGCAGACGGGCGACGAGTGGCGGCCGACGGGGGCAACACGACGAGAGCCAGCGAACAAGGCGATGTACAGAGGCAGCCGCAGCGGGGCCGGACCGCGCCGGTCCGCACCTAGTAGAGCCGGGTGCAGACACCCATGGCCATGAGCTCCTGGAAGAGCAGCTTGGCCGCGTAGGGAATGTAGACCTGCGAGATCGACGTGCGGTTGCGGCACGAGCGGCACTCAAACGTGCTCTTCTTGAGGTTGGCCACCGCCGTCAGTCCGCAGATGTCGCACACGTGCAGCCGGTAGGCGTCTGAGGCGTCAAACATGCGCTCCTTGAGGAAGCTGGCGATGCCGTGCGCAATCATGCAGTCGCGCTCCATCTCGCCGAAGCGGAGGCCGCCGCCGCGCGACCGACCCTCGACGGGCTGGCGCGTCAGGATCTGGACGGGCCCGCGAGCACGGCTGTGGATCTTGTCGTCGACCATGTGCTTGAGCCGCTGGTAGTAGGTGGGCCCCAGGTAGACCTGCGCCGCCAGCTTGCGGCCCGTGTGGCCGTTGTACATGACCTCGAGGCCGCGCGACTGGTAGCCCAGCCCGCGCAGGATCGACGACACGGCCTCGACGGTGAGCTCGGTAAAGGGCGTCGCGTCGCCCTCCTGGCCCGACAGCGTGGCCACCTTCGACAGCAGGCACTCGACCAGGTGGCCGATGGTCATGCGCGACGGGATGGCGTGCGGGTTGATGATGATGTCCGGCGTAACGCCCTCGCTCGTGAACGGCATGTCTTCCTGGCGGTACGTGATGCCGATGGTGCCCTTCTGGCCGTGGCGCGACGCAAACTTGTCGCCCGTCTGGGGCACGCGCGTCGAGCGGACGCGCACCTTGACAAACTTGTTGCCGCTGGCGTTGGTCGTCATGAGGACCTGGTCGATGATGCCGTTCTCGGTCGACTTGAGCGACACGCTGACGTCCTTTTTCGTGTGCGTCTTGCTGCGCAGGCCCAGCTCCTCGCTGTCGGGCGGCAGCGGCGCCGTCTTGCCAATGATGACGTCGTCGCCCGAGACGCGGGTGCCGGGGGGCACCATGCCGTCGGCGTCAATCTTGTCGTAGGTGCCGTGCTTGAGCCGGATCGTCGTGTCGCGCGACGGCTTCTCAAACTCCTCCATGATCATGACGCCCACCTTTTTCTCCTCGGCCATGTAGGAGCGGTAGTAGAGGCTGCGGAAGAGGCCGCGGTCGATCGACGACTGGTTCATGATGACCGAGTCCTCCTGGTTGTAGCCCGAGTAGCAGAGGATGGCGACGATGGCGTTCTGGCCCGCCGGCAGCTCGCGGAAGCGCAGGTGCTCCATGGCGCGCGTCGTCGCCAGCGGCTTCTGCGGGTAGTAGAGGATGTTGGCCATCGTGTCCATGCGCATCTGGTAGTTTGTCAGGTAGACGCCCATCGCCTGCTTGCCCATGGCCGACTGGTAGCAGTTTCGCGGCGACTGGTTGTGGTCCGGGAAGGGGATGATGGACGCGCAGACGCCGAGGATCATCGACGGGTGGATCTCGCAGTGGGTCCACGTGTCGGGCGCAAACGTGTGGGGCGAGCGCAGCCGGGCGCTCGGGTCGGCGCTGGCGGCGGGCACCTGGCCGTTGCGCGCCTTGTACTCGCGCGACTGCTCGAGGTCGTCGGGGCTCATGCAGATCATGACCGTCTCCTCCTCCTCGGCGTCGAGGTACTCGATGACGCCCTGCTGCACCAGCTGCGTCCAGCGGAACTCCTCGCCCAGCTCCGTCGTCTGGCCCAGCATGGCGACGTGGTGCTTCTTGATCAGCAGCGTCATGTCGTCCGGGTTGACGATAAAGAGCGGGCGCAGCACGCGGCCGGCGTCGGTGTAGAGGCGGAGCTCCTTTTCGCGGATGTCGCGCACGACGCTGACCTCGTGGCTGATGTCGTCCTTGCGGCGCAGGTCGCGCAGCGTGTCGACCAGCTGGCCCGGGTCGTCGTGGGTGCCCATCCAGACGCCGTTGACAAACACCTTTGTGGCGCGCGCGTTGGTGACCTGCATGTCGACGAGGCTGTCGAGGCCAAACTCCTCGAGGAACTCGACGATGGGCGCCGACGGCGTGCCGACCGAGATGTTGGACATGAGCGACAGGTTCTTGACCAGGCCGCACGCCTGGCCCTCGGGCGTCTCGGCGGGGCAGACCATGCCCCAGTGGGTGTTGTGGAGCTGGCGCGGCTTGGCAATCTTGCCGTCGCGGCCGATGGGCGTGTTGCAGCGCCGGAGGTGCGAGAGGGTCGAGGCAAACGTGTAGCGGTTGAGCACCTGCGACACGCCCGCCTTGGCCTGCATGAACTTCTTCTGGTCGCCCCAGTTGCCCGTGGCGAGCGAGTAGCGGAGGCCGTTGGTGATGGTGCTCGACTTGACGGCGGCCTGGATGTGGAATTCCTTGTGCTCCTCGACGCAGCGCTGCAGATGGCGGTAGATGTCGCGCGTCAGCTTGCGGAAGAGCATGCGGAAGAGGCTGGCCATGAGCGGGCCGGCGAGGTCGAGGCGCTTCTTGCCAAAGTGGTCGCGGTCGTCGATCTCGCGGCGCTCGAGGGCGGCGAGGAGGAGGCGGTGGACCATGTAGCCGAAGAAGTAGGCCTTGCGGGTGTTGGAGCCCTCGGCGGTCGAGACGTGGGGCAGCATCTCCTTTTGCAGGATCTCCTGGGCGTAGACGGTGCGCTTGGCGCGGCTGAGGCCCGTCGTGGTGCCGCGCCGCCCGATAAAGTCGAGGGCGAGGTCGCGGTCCTGGATGACAAAGGCCTCCTCGATGCACGGCTTGAGCATCTCGAGCATGGCCGTGTCGTTGAAGTCGTAGCAGATGTGCTGGAGCACCTCGCGGTCCGGCACGATGCCGAGGGCGCGGAAGACGATGACAATGGGGATGTCGTTGCGGATGTAGGGCAGCGTGGCGCGGATGGTGTTGTTCTGCGTCTTTTCCTTGTTGCGCGAAAAGAGCTTGATCTGCATGGTGCTGATCGTCTTTCCGCCCTTTTCCACGGCGCTGCGGATCTCTGCGAGGAAGGTGACGGGGGCGGGCGGAGCCTTGGAGAAGACGTAGACGTGGTTGGCGGCCATGCGCTCCTGGGCGATGAGCACCTTTTCGGAGCCGTTGATGACAAAGTAGCCGCCCGAGTCGTAGGGGCACTCGTTGAGCGAGAACGACGTCTCGTCGTCGAGGCCGCGGAGCCAGCAGAAGTCGGACTTGAGCATGATGGGCACCTTTCCGATAAAGATCTGCTGCTCCTCGACGCCGTCGCGGCCGTGCTCGGGCACCCAGAGCGGGTCGCCGTTCTGGTCGACGTCGTCGTCGCTCTGGATGAGGAGCTTCTGGCTGACGTCGACAAAGAGCGAGGCCGAGTAGGTGAGGTTGCGCAGGCGCGCCTCCTGGGGGAAGAGCTGGGCCGAGCTGCCGTCGGACTCGGTCTGGGTGGGCTTGTTGAGGTAGATCTGGCCAAACTCGATCTCGTAGCGGCGAGTCTTGTCCTCTGCGTGGCCCGAGTGCTGGTCGGACTGCTCGAGGGTGAGGCTGCGCACCTCTTCGACGAGCTCCTGGATCGTGTTGCTCATAAACTCGTTGAACGAGTCGAGCTGCTGGCGGACGAGGCCCTTTTCCTCGAAAAAGGAGCGGATGACGTCCCAGCAGTCCTCCTGGCTGATCTCCTCTACGTCTGCGTCGTCGTCTGCGCCGTAGTAGGCCGCCTTGCCGTAGCCGTAGTCGTCGACACCGGCGGCAGCGCCGTCGTAGTCGGACTTGTAGGCATCGTCGAAGCCGGCGCCGCCCCCGCCGCCTTGGCTGATGGTGTCCTTGACGTAGCTGTCATAGGAGGCGACTTGGGCCATGGTGAAGGTGGTTGTGATTTGTGTCGTATAACTTCGGTATAATGTATGCTATACGAAGGTTATTACGCCCTTTCAAACTTGGCTCTCCGCTCTGGCCTTTGCTTTGCTTTGCTTTCGTTGTTC